CTTCTACTTAAAAAAAACACTTTTGGAGATGTAAGCAAAAAGTGATTAGTAGGAAAAGTTGATAGTGTTTGAGAAAAAAGTGATTTTGAAAAGTAAAAGTTGATAGTGTATGGTAAAATAAGTGCTTTTTGTGTAATAGAAAGGGGAAAAACACTTTTTACACGCAAGCCGAGAAAAAGTAAAAATTGGTAGTGTTTGGTAAATAAGTGTTTTTTTTAAGCCAAAAGCTGAGAAGTGCTTGTTTTTTAAAAGTGATTGCAAACACTCCTTTATTTTACCAAACACTACCAACTTTTACTCTTCAAAATCATTTTTTTCTCAAACACTGTCAACTTTTACTACTAATCACTTTTTTCAAATCACTCCAAAAGCACTTTTTTAAGCAGAAAATTGCAAACAGACCCTTAGTGGGTAACCAACGTGGCTACACGCAACATGCTTATTTTCTTTTCACGCAACATGCTTATTTGTTCTACAACTTGGTCTTTCTCCATTTTCTTCGGGAGTGTTTTCAATTGCTTCAACTTTAAAAAAATGGGTTTTTAAAGTGATTTTGGGAAAAGTGACTAATGGTAAAAGTTGGTAGTGTGTGAGAAAAAAGTGATTCTAAAAAAGTAAAAGTTGGTAGTGTTTGGTAAAATAAGTGCTTTTTGTGTAATAGAAAAAGTGAAAAGCAGTTTAAAGCACCCTTCTACCTGCTTCCAGCTTTTAGTTTGAAAACACTCTTTTCAACTTTTTTTAAGTCAAAATCTGAAAAGCGTTTTTTTTAAGCAACCTCAAACACTCCCTTCATCTAGGATGGGCTTGTGGATTCGATGAACAAATTCAAAGTCTTAAACCTCACTGGAGCATCATCTCCGACCATGAAGGAGGAATATGAATAACGCTCAAGCTTTCAATTTTCTGAGATGGCATGGTAAATGTGTCTTCCTATCCACATATTTAGAGCAGGCACAATAACCTATTTATGCTGACAAAGCAGAGAGGGGTTTCACTCTTAGCTCCTCAAATCCGGTTGGCCCTTATTTATACACAGTATAGAACTCCCTGCCAATCTCGCCACTGGGCAATTGGAGATTGTTAAAATGGAGGGGATGATCTATAACGCCGTGGCATCAGTTCAGAAGCCCGTGGCGGGACCACCCGTGGTGGGGCTGCTGAAGACAGATGCGGCAGAGACGGTTGTAAACGGCAGGGCGGTGTGAATTGCGCCGCCGCCATATATGGAAAGTCTTAAATGGTCGGGGTGGAGAGTGTCGACGCCTAAGCACTACAAAAAAACACTCGTTTAGTCACGGACCGTAGTCACGGATTTGGTCCGTGACTAGCCTAGTCACGGACTAGTCACAGACTAGTCACGAAAATTTAAAAAAAAAATTAGTCACGGATTTGACCGTGACTACAGCCGTGACTACACGTAGTCACGGATTTTTGCCCGTGACTAACATCCTCCGATTGCCCGTTTGATTTTCCGGCCTGGTTTGTTTTACTCCGGCGACATAGTCACGGCCACATCCGTGACTACAGCCGTGACTAAATTTAAAAATTATTTTTGCCTCCCCCATAAATCAATCCGCAACGGTAATATGTACGGATAAATTTAGTCACGGACATGGCCGTGACTATGTCCGTGACTACTTTGATTTACACGTCATTTACACGTCATTAACACGGATCGGACGCGTAATGGACACGGTGTTGCTTAGTGACGGACAAATCCGTGACTAAGTCCGTGACTAAATTTTTTATATATGCAGGAGCAGTTCATTCAACAAAACCACACCAATTCATTCCCAGTATATACATTATCTGTTTGAAAGATCGAAGGATGTAGTCTGTCTTCTATCATTTTCCCCATTTATGCAGTTAAGGTATGTTATTTGAATTATTATTTTTATTTAGAATTAGTTGGTTCAATTTAAATTATTAAAACTATTAAATTAGTGATGTTGTTAATTAATTAAAAACATATTCAACTGTAAGCGTAGTAATGTCATAAAATTAGTTAAACTGTTAGGTTTATAAAATAATTTAATTAAAATTAGTTAGCTAAACGTAGTTTTAAACGTAGTGATCTTTATGTTAAGTGAAATTAGTTAGTTAAACGTACGTTAGTAATGTGTTAATTAAGTGTATTGTGAATTGTTATTGTAATTATTGTGTATTATTTATTAATTCAAATGACCTTATATACATGTTCAAATTATTGGGTTTAATTTGGTCATATTATTTAATTTAGTGAATTGGAATTGTTAATTGTGTAGTACTAATAACATTAAATGTCATTAACGTAATAATTTAGTGTAGGTTTAAATGTAGGTTTACAAAAATAATTTAATTAAAATTCGTTAGCTAAACGTAGGTTTAAACGTAGCTAGTGATGTGTTAATTATGTTATATTAGTTAGCTAAACGTAGGTTTAAACGTAGTGATGCATTAAAAGAGGACGGAATGAACTAGTTAAATTTACTTAAATTTAACTAAATGAATTAGTTAAATTTAGTTAAACGTATGTTTAATTTAAATGTAGTGTTAATAAATTACTTAAATTTTTTGTAATATTAGTTAAATTTAAGTATTAGGTAATTACTTATATTTTGTGAATTATTGTTGTGAATTGTGTGCATTTCATTTAATTTAGTAAAAATTAGTTAGTTGATTATTTAGTGAAATAACTCAACTAAAATTTGTTAGTATTATTGTTAGTATTTGAACGTGTATACTTTTTTATTATAATATTCAGGCATAATGTATAAACAAAATAGAAGTTGGATGTATGATAAAGATGCGGTATTGTACGGAATGCAATCAAATTTTCTCGAGGGAGTTGGGGAATTTATTGAATTTGCACTTGAACATCCGGCTTATATGAGTGGTGATAAAATAAGATGTCCATGTTCAAAGTGTAAAAATCTCAAATTTAAAGACCCACACGAAGTTGGGTATGATTTGTACGCGGTCGGTTTTGTTCCCAATTATTATAATTGGACTTCTCACGGCGAACCTTTGGATCCATCTGTTATACCACAAACGGTAGGTTCGTCTCGTTACGTCCCTCCAGAGATGAGTGCGTGGGGAGACCGTGCTGAAATGAGGTGGGACCAACAAATGGTATATGACGCATACGGTGTACCGATGTCTCAGTTCAACCCCCCACAACCACCTAACGACCCCCCTGAAGCCTCAACCTCGTATCAACCAGATGCGGATGAAAATCCGACATTTTATCAACCTTATGCGGATGAAGGTTTGGCTGAGAGATTTCAGGATGTTCTAAAAGCTGCCGACCAACCTCTGTATGCTGATTGTGAGGGATACTCTCAGCTATCCGCCGTTACCGAATTCATGAACATAAAAGCCGAATACAGTCTCCCTGAAACTTGCATGAATAGAGTCTTGCAGTCAGTAGGAGGGATGCTACCGCGAGATCATACCCTTCCGGATTCATATTACCACATGAAGCAGTTAATGTCTAAGTTGGGGTTACCTTGTGTTGAAATTGATGCGTGCCCGGAAGGATGTATGTTGTTCTGGAAGGAGGATGAGGCACTTGAGTTCTGCAAGTTCTGTGGTGGAGACAGATACAAACCTGTTCGTCAAGGTAAAAAGAAACCACGACATAGGTCTGCACTGTCTAAACTGTATTACCTCCCAATAGCTCCTCGACTGCAGAGGATGTACGCTTCGACTGCTACTGCGAAACACATGACATGGCATGTTGAGCACGAAACCAACGAGGGTATGATGGCTCACCCTTCGGACTGTGAAGCCTGGAGACACTTTGACCGCTGTCATCCTCAGTTTGCTATGGAGCCACGAAATGTGCGGCTGGGATTGTGCTCAGATGGATTTGCTCCTTTTGGCAGGTTTGGCAAGAACTATTCATGCTGGCCGGTCATGTTAACTCCTTACAATCTCCCTCCCGACATGTGCATGAAAAGTCATTTCATATTTTTGTCTTTAATTTGTCCGGGTTCCAAGGATCCTGGGCGAAAGATAGACATTTATCTCCAACCCCTTATCGAGGAGATGAAAGAACTGTGGGCCGTTGGGACACCAACTTATGATGTTTCATCAGATAAAATGTTTATCATGAAAGCTGCCATCATTTGGACCATTAGCGACTTCCCTGCCTATGGCATGCTTTCGGGATGGAGCACACACGGTTTGATGGGATGTCCGATATGTATGGAGAAATCAGGTGCCAACTGGCTTAGTTACAGCAAAAAAAGGAAGTTACTTTGATTGTCACCGCAAGTTTCTCCCGGAAAGGCACCGATATCGAAAGGACAAGAAGTCTTTCATTAGAGGCAGAGCGGTACGAGAGAGCCCACCCCCGAGATTGACCGGTGAAGAAATTTATAACCGGGTTCGACGTTTTCCTACGGCTATGGAAGAGCCAAACCAAGAGCCATATGGGTATTGTGATACCCATAAGTGGACAAAGAGGAGCATATTCTGGGAGTTGCCTTATTGGAAAGACCTTCTCATCCGTCACAATTTAGATGTCATGCACACTGAGAAGAACGTCTTTGACAATATATTTAACACGGTGATGGATTTGAAAGGCAAAACCAAAGACGGTCTTGCAGCTAGGAAAGATATGACTATTTGGTGTGATAGACCCGAACTTTCTGTTGATCTAGAATATCAGGGCAAGGAAGTTCCAAAAGCAGTCTACCAGGTCACAGAACCACAAAAGGCAGCAATATTACAATGGCTTGCGTCTCAGAAGTTTCCAGATGGCTACTGCTCCAACTTGTCTAGATGCGTAGACATGAACAAACTTACCACGACGACGAGCATGAAAACTCACGATGCTCATGTAATAATGCAAAGACTTCTACCAATTGCACTAAAAGAGATGCTTCCTGAACACGTATGGTCCTGCATTACTGAAATCAGTTTGTTGTTTCAATCGATATGTTCCAGCGTTTTGGATGCGGCATCCCTCCGGAGACTACAAGATTCTGTTCCCATTCTGATGTGTAATCTAGAAAAAATAATGCCTCCATCGTTTTTCGATACAATGGAACATCTTATAATACATCTTCCGTATGAGGCTTTGACTGCTGGGCCCGTCTTCTATCACTGGATGTACAGATTTGAAAGGTTAGTAACAATTTCATTTAAAAAAAGAATATTTATTTCACAATAACTGTTAACATGTGTACCGTTGTTATATTGCATTATTGCAGATTTCTAGGAGAGCTGAAAAAGAAAGTGACCAACAAGGCACACGTTGAGGCTTCAATTTGTCAAGCGTATCTTCAACAAGAAATCTCAACGTTCTCGTCTTTTTACTTCGAGCGTGACGTCATCACCAGAAGGAAGAGACCTGCCCGGAACGATGACATTGGCGAGGATTTATATGAAAATGTAGTTTCCATCTTCAATTACCCAGGCAGAGGTAAAGGTGCTGCGACACAACGATACATCGTGGGTGGGGAATTGCAAATTGCACATACTTATATCCTCATGAATTGTCCAGAAATCTCACCGTTTTATCAGTAAGTTAAATTTGTAGTTATAATTGTAATACTTATCAATTAAATTTGTAGTAAGAACTATAATTTTTTTATTTTTGAATTCACAGTGAATTCAGAGCTTCTTTATCAGCCTTTCCTGAGAATCAAATTGATGCATTGGTAGACTCTGATTTTGTAAATTGGTACAAGTATCAGGTATATATATACACACACATTAATTATATATATATATATATATTATTAAGTAAGATTCTTCAATATTTACCTAATGTTATTATCATGTTTATATTTACAGATCAATAGTCGTGGGATTGTCGACCCTTTGTTAGTATCATTAGCGTGGGGCCCTAGTGCCAGTGCCAAAGTGTGGCGGCAATATGTGATAAACGGTTACACATATCACACAGCCGATTACGGAGAGGGCCGACCAACAACGAACAGCGGGTTATGTGTCCCGACCATCAGTTATGATAACTCGGAAACCAATTTTTTTGGTGTCCTGCAGGAGATTCTGGAACTTGAGATGCCTTCTGGTGCGAAAAAATTGACATGCGTTCTGTTCCGTTGCACATGGGTCGACCCCACACGTGGCGTGCGCAAAAATCCGAAGTATAATATGATTGACGTCAACCAGTCTCGTGTGTACCCGAAAAATGAGCCTTTCATACTCGCCCAACAAGCAGCGCAGATTTATTATGCAGAATATCCTTCAACAAGGCGGACACAGAATCCTTGGGTGTGTGCATGTCCTGTCCGTCCGAACAAAATAAAATCACAAACTCAACACAAGGACGTTGATCTAGATGCTTTTCAGCAACAATTTTTCCAACCTCCGCCTATTGTTGAGACGGTCAACTATGACATCCAATTAAGTGATCCAAATGGCGGACGTGTTGAAGTCATGCCAGAAACGCACCTTCCGGACCCAACCATTCCATCTGAGCGCGAAATTGAGGAAATGTATGTAGCACAACAAAACGCTCAATATCAGGAAGAAGGTGAATGGATAGACGGTTCAGATACAGAAGAAGATACTGTATATGTAGAAAATGACGATTCTGATAGCGAATAATTGTGCTGTTGTAATTTCAATTTTATTGACTTCTAATATTTGTGCAGATTTCTTCATCATTATATTACTCCAACAATATTTGAATTTTTTTCTATCTTTATCATTATTATTTATGAACAAAAAATTACTCCATATTAATTCAACCACAACAAGTTTTTTATATCCATATTATAAATTCAAAATAAAATTTTTCACAATTCGAAGTTTGAAAATTAAAATTTACCCAATACAAAATATGAAATTACTCTATATTATATTCTTTTATTTTCAAATTCGAAAATTCAAATATTATTTTTGATTTTTCTAAATTCGAAAATTTATTTTAATAATTTTTAATAATTCGAAATTCGAAAATTAATTTTAATAATTCTAAGTCTATTCGAAAATTAACAAAATTCGAAAATTAAAAAAAAAGTAATTTACTTTTACTAATCTGAATATTATAATAAATTTAGATATTAATAAACAACTAACAGAGATTTATTTATCAAATTTCAAAGATAAATACAAAACACACAATGAAATTGTCACATATTATTTATCAAACAACTAACATAGATTTATTTATCATATTAACCTAACTAACATTATTCATTCCTCAATCGGAAACTTTCAAGAGGCCTAGCCCACAACTCCTGAATTTTCATTCGAGCTTCTTCGTTGATCGGGTCCATATACTCTGAAACTTCTTGTGCACGTTGAAGCATCCGACACAAATTTCTTGCTTTTGACTTGCCCAACGAGTCGGATTCTTCATCTTTATAATCGCCAAAACTTTCAAGGGGTCTAGACATCAACTCCTTGATTCTCTCGTATGCTTCCACGGTTTTCGGCTCCATAAGCTCTGTAATCAGCTTAAGTCGTTTCATATCTCTACACATCGAATCCCAGTCAATTGGACCTCTATTAGCCATTTATTTTACAGTTCAGTCTTGGGCCGGAGAAAGATGATTTATACTAAAAAATTTCAAGTTGTCACGGTCTTAGTCACGGATAATTCCGTGACTAACCTGTCAGTCTGGCAGCCGGAGAAGTGTCAGGGCCGCCGGTCTAGTCACGGTTTTAACCATGACTAGAACCGTGACTAAATTCAAAATTTGAATTAGTCACGGTCTTAGTCACGGATAAAACCGTGACTAAACCGGTCAAAGGCGGCTGATGCCGCGTGGCTGATTTCGTTGATTACGAAGGGTTTAGTCACGGATATATCCGTGACTAAGACCGTGACTACACCGATATATAAAATCGACACTTAGCGATTTTTTCAAACTTACGCTTCCCAAACCCTATTTTCGAGCCAAACTCTTTCTCTTCCAACTTTCCTTCCACTGCCGCCGGTCTGAATGCAACGCCGCCGCCGTCCGCCGTCCACTGCTGTTGTTCGCCGCCGGTTGCCGCCGACCACTGCCGTCGTCTACCAATCCTCTTTTTTCGCTCCTCTCTCCACATCAAGGTTATGTTTTCTCGATTAATTTTTTACTCACAAATGTGTGTTTATGTACTCAAATGCATGTTTATATGCTCCTATGCATGTTCTATTTATTGAAAACTGCATGCCTTAATGATTCATTTACAATTACATATTTATGTGTATGTTTTTACGTTTATACATACAAATGAATGCTATTATTATGTTCGCATGACAATATTAATTTTGTAATATTGTAATATTAATTTCGCATAACAATATTAATTTGCATGCTCGATATTAATCTCTCCATAATTCTTAGTTTTCTTTTAGTTTCGAATTACAATATTAATTTGCATATTCAAAGTTGACAAAATATATTTTTCCTTTTTTGTTTGATGTCTAATACGCATGCTTTAGATATAGTTTGATTCAATTTGATTTTTTTTGTATAAGTTTAATATGCATGGCTAAATATGATTTAATTTTAGGTTAAACAATATGCATGTTTTTTCAAACTTTTTTTTCCAGACTTATGCATGAATTATTTAGACATTGTTAGGATTATTATTATTTTATCATCAATCAAATTTATTATTTCCAAATTATTTAAAAAATACCCCCTCATGTTAAACTTCCAAAAAAGTTTAACATGTTAATTATAAAACATTAATTTAGACATTAAAAACTATTTTCCGAAATACAATATAAAATATATATTATAAAAAACAGTTTAATAATATACTGTTTTTTATTAAACAGTTTAATAAAAAACAGTTTGACAAAAAAAACAGTTTAAAAAAAAACAGTTTGATAAAAAACAATTTAATAAAAAACAGTTTAAAAAACAGTATAATATTAACAGATTGCAATCAAATAAAATCAGATTTTAATAAAAAACAATAAAAACTGCTTTCCAAAATAAAATATAAAATATAGATTATAAAAACAGTTTAATAGATAACTTATTTTTAAACCGTTTAATAAAAACTTTTTTTATTAAAAAGTGAAATAATAATCATTTTTAAAGTTTAAAACAATTTGTTTTTCATTTTTTATGAAAAACAGATTTTTTATTCAACAATTGTTTTTTAAAAGTGAAGTAATAAAAAAACAGATTTTAATAAAACTGTTTATATAAAACTGTTTTTATAAAACTTTTTTATATAAAACTGTTTTTGTATAATTTTTTTTTATATAAACTGTTTTTTTATAAAACTTTTTTTAAATAAAACAGTTTTATATAAAAACAGTTTTGTATAAAAACGGTTTTGTATATAAACGGTTTTGATAAAACTTGTATAAAAATTTGATCTTCTATTATGATCATACTAACATTCAAAAATATCCCCTCATGTTAAACTTCCAAAAAAGTTTAACATGTTAATTATAAAATATTAATTAAGACAGTAAAAACTGTTTTTTGAAATAAAATATAAAATATAGATTATTAAAAACACATTAATAATATACTGTTTTTTTATTAAACAGTTTAATGAAAAACAGTTTGATAAAAAACAGTTTAATAAAAAAATTTTTAAACTTGCCTAAAGTTTAACATGTTACATTTTATAACAATTTATAAAATTATCACCCCTCATATTAAACTTACACACAGTTTAATATGTTTTACACATTTTCAATTGATAAATGTATAAAAATTTGATCTTCTATAATGATTAGACTAACATTTAAAAATATAAATTAATATATTTTAGATGAGCAATGAACAATCAACCTCGCGTACCCGCCCAAATTATGTGCCCTTAACCGAAGCTGAGCGCAACAATGAAAATGCGCTTTGGGTGACGCCCCACATGGTTGCGAAGTAAGTAACTATGAATTTTATCTAACGTGAAATAATTTTTTCAATGTATCATAATGTAATCAAAACTTTTATAAATAAATAATATTAATTTTCTGAAGCGATCAAGAAGTGTTGGACCAAATCAAAGTCATAATTGGAGGACACTTTCTTGGAAACTGGGCTACATACACAGAAGTAGACCCCAAGGTTCGTGAACTTTGGTGGAACCTTTTCAAGGTAAAAAAAATGAATTTTCTCTGCGTAATTGTATTAACGTAACATTTGATAAAAGATAAATTAATTTATTTGTTTTTTATAAAGGGTCGGTTTCGATGGACTGAAGCCCAAGGTCCAGCTATTCTTAGAGCGTATAACGCTAGGATTTCAAATTGGCTTCGTCCTACTTTTAGGCGTGCCCGAACGAGCGGGGTAAAGCCTGGATGGTGTTCGGATGAGGTGTGGGCTAACCTCGTCCGTCACTGGTCTTCTGATCCAAACTTCTTGGCAAGAAGTCAATCCGGTAAGAAAAACCGGATGTCTGAGAAAGCCTTAGAAACCCAATGGCATGGGGGCCGCAAACCTCAGAGTAGACACAAAGAAGATCTTGTAAGTATTTTTCAAAAAACTTTACACAATTACAACCCTTTATTTTAACAATTAATTATGGATCTTAAGCCTTTTTTCCAAATTGTAGTCGGGGCCTGAGAAAAAGAAGGTCTCAATTCTCAAGGTCATCAAGCACTGCTGGACAAAGCACGGCGATGAGTCCGATGCCGATCTGCCACCCCGCCTCGCTGAAATCGAAGTAAGTAACACTATTTTGTTACTTATTTCCATTCAAAATCAAATTGAGTAACATTAAATTAACAATTTTTGTACATGTAGTCAAAGTATAACACAAATGTTGAGAAGAGGCGGACAGAATTAGGCTTGACTCAGGAGGATGAGATTAATTCTGATGTGGAGGATGATGCCATCTTTGAGGCAGTTGGGGTGTACAAGGGCCGGGTCCCGTGCATGGGGGCTGAGGGGCAACGGATCTTGTACGACCGCAGCGGTGCTTCATCTTCCCGATCAAGGCGCGGAGAGGATCCGCGTATCGCTCAAATGCAGCGGGAGATGGAGGAGCAGCAGCGGGCCTTGGCTGAGCAGCAGCGCACCTTGGAGGAGCAACGCAAAAAAGAAGAAGAAACAAGGGCCCGGCTGGAAGAGATGGAACGGATCCTCAGCGCCGGAATTCGGAATCAGCCTCAGCCTCAGCCTCAGCCGTATGTACTGCACCCTGAGCAGACACCTCAAGTTCCGCACATGGGCGGTTATTTCCGTACCAACTCTGCTACCGGGTTGCCTTCATTTGGTTCTATTCAGGATATCAATTTTCACAACCTCTTTCAAACATCTGGAGGCAGCCAAGCGGGTGGTAGTCGCGGAGGTGGCAGTCGCGGAGGTGGCAGTCGCGGAGGAGGCAGTCGCGGTGGAGGCAGTCGCGGTGACAACCGAGAAGATGAGACCGAAGAAGATTATTTATATGATGATTCTAGATATTATCATAATGGTAACCGGAGGAGCTTGTAATTGATATACATTTTTATTTGAACATTGTTTATTTACTATAATTTTATTGTGCTTATTATTACTTTTGTTTCAGTCTGTTTGGTTATGAAATGTGTGTTCTAGTAGTCTGTTTATTACTTTTATTCTACAAATATTTTTTAAAATAAACTTTTCTAAAAAATAATTAAAAAAAATTTTATTTTTTTATAAAACAAAAAAACTTTTTTTTTAAAAATAAAAAACTTTAGTCACGGATCCGAGCCGTGACTAAATTCTAGACCGATTTTTTAAAAAGTTATTTTGCAAATTTAATTTTTTTTTAAAAAATAAAAAAGTAGTCACGGATCAAGTCCGTGACTAAAATTTGAAATTTGAAAATTTAACCCGTAACATTTGGCGGTTCATTTTTTTAAATTTGAAAGTTTAGTCACGGATTAGTCCGTGACTATATTTAGTCACGGAAAAGGCCGTGACTAAGTCGCCGGTGTGATTATTCCGGTGACAAGTTAGTCACGGAAACGGTCCGTGACTAAGCCGTGACTACGCTAAGTCACGGATAAAATGACCGTGACTAGAATTAGTCACGCCCAAACAGTCACGGATTTAGTCACGGACAAAGTCCGTGACTAGCAGAGTTAGTCACGGATTTTTTATACTACGGTCCGTGACTAAATCCGTGACTAACTCCGTGTTTTTTTGTAGTGAAGGGATCAAATGTGAGACGAAATGCAGGAGAAAGTTGAACAGTGTCAAAAGTTTTTTCAGACCAAAATAAAGGAAAAATTGATGCAAAAGTGTGGGTTGATCAAAATAAAAAAAATTAATCCACATAGCGGATTGAGTTATGATTTGATAGTACGATGACTTAATTGTCTTTTTTGACAATAGTACGATAGCTTATTTGATAATTTTCCCTTATACGGAGTACTTATTATCATGTATGTACATATGGGTGATCACCAGGCTAGTACCAATCCCAAAATTTAAAGTCCACGATTGAGACTTCTTTTCCGCCCTATGAAATTCAGTCCCCACCGGATGCACCATTTTCCATCCCAAATCGATCAAAATAACTGGCCCATCCCAATTTGGACCGGGATCTTATGCTATTTTCTATTGGACTATTTTCAATTCCAAACTAGACTAGATTATACTAGACCAGACCAGACCATTCCAATCCAGATTAGACTAAAAACATGTGAGAGTAAAAAGGAAGAGGGTATCATGTCAGACCAAAACCTCTTGTGAAAAAATAAATGTAAGTTATAAATGATTTCAATATAATCATATCCTTCTCTGATCTTGTCATTAATTCCAATTATGAACTTTCAATTCTCGAAAGATGTAAAAAATTCATATAAATTCCCATATTAAATATTTTTTTTGGGTGCAATATTAAATATTAATAATACATATAAAAGTAATTGTGAATTCTAGTATTCTACTAATGTACTCTTTAATAAAACAATCTACAAATGTACCAAATTTTCCTAAAAAATAACCGATCATTGAATCGGGGTCATTAAAAGCGGATCAACACTAATTAAAATTATAATTCTCAATTTTTTTCAATCAAAACAGTACTCCGTAATACATTTTTTACCCGCTGGTGTCGATCCAGGATTTTGGGGTGAGGACCAGGTCACCTGTTTATCGAGAAACCGTAATGCATATTGAATTGTATGTTTTTTTATGCATGTCTAACTTCAAATTATTGGAGCCAGACCTCAATCACACCCCGACTTACATCTCTAGAAGATCGATTGAACACATACACTTGGTGGTAAATTAAAATGTTTCTAGACTTTGATTCAATTCAAAAATGCATTGGAAGAAAGAACCCATGAATATACTAGTATATCATTTGGCCGGGATCGGATAGCAATTAATCATACTGGTGGTTGGCAACAACACATAGGTGGATCTTGCTTCTTAAAGCTAAAGCAGCCCCATGGAACCCATCCTTTAGCCTTTTGTGAACATGCAGAGTAGCAATCCTCAGTTCTGTTACAAGGTGTTGCCGTGCAGGGATCATTGTCATAGACCAACACTTCTTCTTTAGCCTTTGATGTTGCAGCACCTTCCCAGGAGTAATCAAAACATAGTAAATAGTCAGCAACTCAGCAAGATCCAAACCAAAAGCATATATAAACTAGTTAGTCACTATTATATTCAACCTTTTTCTTGCGCGACGCGATTATGAAAAATGACAATGACGAACCGATAAAAAAAATGAGTGACAACACGATCCAATGGAAGTGTCTGGTCGCGTGAGAAGGAGGACCGAAGTATCAGTATAAGGTTTAGATCATTACCTTGTTGTTAAGACCTAAGAATCCATATAGCACCTTATTACTTCACAAATTTTTCAGTGCGGGATTTCAACACTTGTTGTAATAATGATTAATGATGACTTGTAATAATGATTAGTGATGACTTACAAACCACCAAACTAAAAGGTTTAGGCCATTACCTTGTTGTAATATCAATATAATGGCAATGCCCAAAATAGCCATGAAAATATTGATGTTGGATTCAAAGCATCGATGAGAAGAACGGTTCATTCTTTTGATCGAATTGTTTCACAACTTTACCGGTAGGGCTTGTTATTAGGAGGTTTATATAATATGCCCAACTATTTTTACCAATTCCATATGATGAATCTAGACTACTTAATTAGACAATCAAATCAAGTATCATTATGAATATTAAAAGATCAATCCATCTCTATACGTAGTATATAGTTTCAATTTTCCATATTAGTGTGTGATACCGATATTTTGACACTATGAAATACATAGTGTAGATTCTAAAAGATACTCCGTAGTAATTTAGGTGTCTCAATCCGAGGCCTGATTAATCCTCTAGAACGGATTTCCATTAAATCACAAAGTGAAATTGAGCGTAATTTGCATTTGTTGTGCACTTGTGGCGCTAATACATTATATTCATTTAGGATATTTTCATTTGGACTGAAATTTGCTGGTCTGGTCTGATCTGGTCTGATCTGGTCTGGTCTGGTCTGTTTAAGTCTGGTCTGGTCTGGTCTGAACTGGTCTTGTTTGGTCTGGTAAACGTCTGGTCTCTGTGTATTTTATAACTATCTAAGTCTGGTCTGTTTAAGTCTGATCTGGTCTGATCTGTTTAAGTCTGATCTGGTCTGGTCTAGTCTGGTCTGGTCTGGGACTGAAAACAGTCCAAAAGAAAACATCCTTATACACGGATCGGAGTATGTAATTCTATACATTGTGTTGCTCCGTATTTTATTATTATTGCATGTTGCGTTTAATTATTTGTAACATTTATGCCTTGTACGTAAGCCACTTGTTTTTATGTGATAGGAGTCTAGTTTGTTATGTACATAGTTGTCAGAGATAATTATCCTAGGTGTGATTAAAACTTCTCTAATTTCCAATCTATGACCTAACTAGTTTTTTTTACTAAAATATTATTAAAATTTATAATATTTAATTAAAATTCGTAATAAATAAATAAATAAATAATTTAGGTTGACAAATATACCCTTTAAGTTATATCTATAAAACCGTAAACTCCTACACATTTCCCTAACCCTAGCCTCCATTCTCCACCTCCATAGATCCATCCACCTACAGCCGCATGTCTCCTGCAGCCGCATGTCCCCTGCAGCCGCCCCATAGCCCGCCATCCGCCGCCGTCCAAAAGACACCATGTGCAACCAGTGGCGGAATTAGAAAATATTTTAAGCAGGGGCACTCAAATGATGTAATTCATCACATTAATAATAACATTGTCTTAACAAATTACACTAAAACATAACAAATATAATCAAAAGTGTTAATGTAATGATGCTAAATCCAACCTACGGGTCCTCATGTTCTGAAAATGTTGGTTTTTTTTTTTTGTTTTTTTTTTTTGTTTTTTTTTTTTTTACGAATCGGAGCGACAAAGGGCTGAATCTCAGAAAATGTTGGTTAATAACCTCATTATCGATGCGTCTAAACACATCTCTTTCTACGTAACATGCTATAGAATCATTAAAATAATCATCCCACATTTTATTACGTAAATTGGTTTTGAAGATCATAATAATTGATAAGGCTCTTTCAGCTGTAGCTGAGGCAACAAAACTAGTGCCAAATCAATTAGAAGGTAAACTAGGCGTGGATAGTAAAAAATAGGTAAAGAACGTAACGTATAGCTAGTAAAAAAGAATGTTGAAAAAAGGTAAAGATCGTATAGCTAGTAAAAAAAGAATGTTGAAAAAAACTTAAAAAAGGCAAAGAACGTATAGCTAGGAAGAATGGCTGTGGTGCAGTCGTGAACAAAGTGCAACGGTAGAAGAGTGGGTGTGGGTTCCATTCCCGCAGGCGTTATTATTTTTCCTTAAAAAATGTATAGCTAGTAAAAAATAGGCAAAACTAGCTGCAGGTAAAGAAGTTTTGGCACAAGTGTAAAAAAATTAGGGGTGGGCGCGGTCCAGTCCAATATTTGGCCTAACCCGTACCCGTACCGTTACTATTCAAACGGTTCGGTTCGGTCTTAGACCTAAACCCGTTCGGTACGGTTTCATTTTGAAACGGGACGGTACCATGTCATACCAATACCAAACAATGCCACTTTTTCCAAGTGTTTAAGAGACAATTAAAGTTTGGTCATCCTCCAAAAATCTACACAATTTATCAATTTTCATACTCAATTCATCCCAAATTGACATGCAAAGTCAATATTTTTTGGTCAACCAAAATAAGAGTTAAATTCTCTTCATTGATAATTAATTCAATTTTTAATAATTAAAATAAACATATTCAGAAACTACATTGAAATTTCTTCAAATTTGCAAGCTCCAAATTAAATATAATTAAAAATTGACATTCTAGTTAAGTGAATAAAATGAATCTGTTTGACAAAAAAAAAGTTAATTTTGCAAATCAATTTGGGACGAAGGTAGTATTACATAATTAATAAATTTCAGATAAATTATAGTAGTACAGATTTAAATGATTAAACCATAAATCGGTCCGATTCCAGCCTTCCCATGAACTAGCAAAGACGGTGAAAATGTAAAGGCCCTAGTCAAAATAATGGTATAAATGTAAATTTAAATAATTAAATCATACTTCGGTCCGGTTCGGTCCGGTTTCGGTTCTCATTTTATGAGAACCGGTCATGGCATTGTTTAGAATCTGTACGGTTCGGTTCGGGACAAAAAAATTGAGATCCGTTTCAAACCCCTTTTTTGGTCCGGTACCATATCGGTTCGGTTCGGTACCATGCCGGTTCGGTATTTTTGCCCACCCCTAGTCAAAATAGCCTTCTCAAAACCGTAAGTTCGTAAATCGCAAATGGCTTGCTGGAGCTACTGGGTGCTTGATCTTGGTTTGGGCTGTAGGCTGCTGGGCACTTGGGCCTTTCCTTGGTCCGATAGGCCTTTATTTTTTTCCCTAGCCTCTTCCAAACGACGCCGTACCAATTTAAAAAACATGTCAGCTTCATCATCTTCAATTGCTCGATCGTTTTCAGCTTCCCTGTCCGCGGCCAGCAAACAACTTTCCAAGCTCACGGGAAAAACTAAACGGATCAGTCCGGTGCCCCCTAATCCCTACCTATACCCTAACTCGATGGCCGAAGCAGGGGCAACGGCCCCCCTGGCAGATCCGTCCCTGGGGCTGCTCGAACTCATGCTGTATCTCCAGCTCTACTACCAGCACGTGGCAGTGAGCCTTCTTCTTCCAGCCTGACTACGGATAAATTTGGAAGTTTAGGAAGTTTAAACTAGTATCCCAAAACTTCCATGGAAAAGTAAAAAAAAATGATACCTGTTTATAATAATCCGAACTCTAAAAATATACGTAGTATTTTAGAGTAGGAAAATAACATTCTATTTTGAAATTCCAAAGTATTTTTACACCTATTTTAGGAATTATCCCACACATATTTTATTCGATCCATCTTAAATTTCCTTCCATGCGGACACCACGTATATACGGAGTAGTTATTATTACGGAGTATTGTATTATATACTCGTACTAAGTACCAGGTATTCGATATTAGTGAGAAGAGAAAATTCCTTGGCTTATGACTAAAAGAGAACGTCTTTCTCCATCTATGACTACATCAAGTTTTATTCTTATTGAATGACTCACATGCTGCATGCCCAAACACGGGCTTTTTTTATTTTTATTTTAATCCCACAAGTGCCCTCTTTGTATTTAATTAATGAGCTTTATTTGATCCTACAAAAACGGCCGGACGATTAAATGCGCACGTCTTATAGGGATAACCGTTTAGAGACATAAATGGTTGTACGTCTTCTCTTAATGAGCTTTATTATTATTATTATTGTTATTATTATTATTATTATTATTTTTAATATGATTATTATTATGATTATTATTATTATTATTATTACTATTGTTATTATTATTACTATTATTATTATTACTATTATTATTATTATTATACTCTCTAGATTCTACTTTTATTCCTTAACAATTCTCCATTTTATTACCATCTTCTAATATTGTCCTTTCATTATTGTCTTCTATTACTGCCCTTTGATTACTGTATGTCTCCTATTATTGCCCTTTCATTATTTTCTTCTGTTATTGCCCTTTGATTACTGTACGTCTCTTATTATTGTCATTTCATTACTGTACATCTCATATAACTGCCATTTCATTAGTGTATGTCTTATTATTGCCCTTTCATTATTGTACATCTTCTATTACTTCCCTTTCATTACTGCACATATTCAATTACTGCCCTGTTATTATTGTCTTCAACTATTGCCTTTTCGTTACTGTCTACTACCGACTATAAATCTAGTTGTAAAATAATACAATATAAACTCGAGTTATATTATACTACAGTTTATATATGCAAAAGAAAATATGATAAATTATTTATTAATTGTAAATCATAAATTGCCTTTTTAAAATATTACTCCACACCATTGGGAGTAGTAGTAACGGTTTCAACAATAATGACTTTTAATTGCCTCGACTCCATTTTGAAAAGATTCATTTTTTATAAGCGTGTGTCCACAAGGGGTAATAGAGTAACATTGCATCATTATTAAATATCCATCCATATGCATACGCACATATTTAGTCATACGTTAAGCATTATTCATTTTTAGTCATACATTGAGAAACTCTCTTTCTTTTAATCATATAACCGTATTTTCCCCCTTATGAAAAAGTAATTACGTAGTATATAGATAGGGATGGCAATGGGGCGGGGTTGGGGCGGGGGTTCACTCCCCCATCCCCCGCCCCGTGTCTAAAAAATCGCCCCCACCCCCGCCCCATCCCCCACTACTATTCGACCCGCCCCATCCCCCGCCCCGACCCGCTAGACCCACGGGTACCCAACGGGGAAGTACTCGTCAAAAATTAACATCATTTTAGACTCTGACAATTTTTCAAAAATTTAACAACACTTCTAGTAGCCAATTTTTTTTTTTTTACTTTTTAAGTGTCAATGTAATCTTACATCCCATTTCAAATCTAGAACACATTATACGCGTTCTAAATTAGTAATTTTTATCAAACTCGAAATTAGCATTGATTAGCTCTATAATATTTTCTTAAACCCTGCAT